CCTGTGACTAGTGGGAGTGAAATGAGTGTAAAGTGTCTCATGTGGCTCGGGGGAATGAAATGTGTGTAAAGCATCTCATGAAAGGCTAGTGGGTGTGAAATGAGGGTGTAAACTGCCACCTCTCTGGAAAGGTTTTTGGCATTTCATCAAAAGATAATGTGTTATTATGTGACCACAGTTCCACTCCCATTTTCTAACCAGAGAGAGATGAAAACACGTGCACATGTAAGTGTTTCTGAGATCCTCGCTCAGGACTCAGGATTCCAGGTGCTATTCTTCCGACTCACTAATAACAGACTTGCCCTTTATGTAAGAATGTAAACGGCATGTCAGCCTCTTCCTTGTTCATTTCACAACTGTTCGTTCACCCCACAGCAAAGAGAAGGAGACGGGGCCCCAGGCTCTTCCGCACAGGGGTAAGTTGTCAGCTTCCTGCAGGGGCTTGGTCTCTCTGAAGGATAGCTCTGTTCCTTTATTACCTCAAATGACTTTGGAAAACAATTCACCCACAATGAGATATTTTAAATAGTTCTGTTGAATTATACCGATGGCTGTGTCTCGTCGCGCTTCTTACTTGTAGAAACTGCATTTTTCTCTCCCTTTGTTGTAAGTAACATCTAGAGTAGTGTGCAAGAATAAGACCGGCTTATTCATTTCCACGTCTCTCCGTCAACCTGTGGGGGCCGTGAGTCTCCGTGTTGGTGTCCGTCGTAAGCTCTGAGCGTCCGCCCGTTCCTGAGCCAAGATGCTGAGTCAGTGTGGGCGCTGACGACCCCTTCGCCCCGGAGCCCTGCCCAGGGGGCCCAGGCTTGGCTTCCCAAACAGGGTTTCAAGAAGCGTCTGTGAGCCAGTGTTGTGTGGTGCAGGTCGTCTTATTTTGGAGGCTGAGTCAAAGGTCATGAGCATTTTCAGTCTTCACAGACTCCTTCCGATGACTTTCGCAAAAGGGTGGCGCAGTTCACACTTCCTTCACCTCTGTCCCTCTTTCAGCATGGGGTACTAACATATGTTTAGCTTTATGCAAATAAAATATATAATATGTTAGTATGCATTTCCTTAATACCATTATGACTGAACTTTTTTCATGTTTTGACCAGTTTTCAATTTTTCTTGTGTGAATTAGCGGTCAGCAGTTGGGTTATTGGATCATCAAACGTAACAGCTCTCTGCGTGTTCGGAATCGTGCGGTGTCTTTCACAGTGTAGATGCCGTAGACTTCTCTGAAGCCAAATTTGTTAAAATTTCCTTTTGTCTTGCTTTAAAAAGCCTTCTTTATTCCAAGGCCATACAAATATCCTCCAATACTCTTTGTTAATATAGTCACATTTCTGATTTGTACCTTTTTGACTTTTCGGGCCAGAGGGCATTGATTTTTGTATTTGGTGACAGAGGAGCGAAGGTTATTTCATCCCAACAAAGTAACGCTTGGTTTTTCACGTCGTGTATTGAATAATGCACTTTCCCCTCAAGCTGAAAGGCCTTTTCTGGTTCTCTGTGTTCCCCTAAGTACAGGCTCAGGTCTGTCTCGTGGGTCTGTGTCCTGGGGCTGCACCATCTGTTTAAATTACAGGGCCTCATTTAGCGACTATATTTTAATATCTGGCAGGCAAATCTCTGTCTAAAGATTTTTTTCATTTTTTATTTACTTTAGACAGTTCTTACATATTTATTTTCAAATATGAACTTTAAAATCACTTTGTCCAGTTCCAAGAAACATGAAATTCAAACTGGAGTTACATTAGTGACAGGCCTGCCCTTGGGAGGGACCCACGTCACAGCCCCCACGGAGAGGCAGCAAAGCCTTTGAATTTCACTTTGAATTATCACGGAACTATTGTCCTTTAAGTAAAATATAAAAATACTTTCTCTGTTACGCATTTTTGGCAAGATGAATAGAAACCTAAGTATGACCAGAATTGTAAACTTCCACTCTAAAACCAAAACAAAATGAAAAAAATTTTAGTGATTGCCAAATCAACGTGTGTATTATAGAAAATTTGGGAATTGCAAAGATTCCCAGGTGAAAATGAAAGTCACGCAGGGTCCCTGACCCACCAGCAGCCACTGACGGCATCTGGACTGGCGTCTTCCAGGTCGTCCTTAGAATGTTTCTTCTGTGCATGACGTGCATAATGTGCTGATTTATACAATTGCAGTCACTTGGACAATGTTTCCGAGCCTGCTTTTTCAACTTCAAATACTGTGAACATTTTTCTGTTAAAGGGAGAAAGAGTGGCCTGTATGGGTATAAATCATCGCAGCTTTGGGATCTGTTACACTCCCTGTTTCTGGAACAGTGTGTTTTGATTTTCAGTCCATCCTGTGCTTTTCCAAAAGACTGCTGAGCTGGCCTTATGTGGGAGGGTTAGGGTGTTTAAATGGGATAGTTGACGAGTACCGGGTGCAGCCAGACGCCACTGCCCGTCTTCTGCCACATGAACTGCCTGCAGGGCCACCTGGGAGTTTGGAGCAGTGGACCACATGGACACCTGACGACTCTCAGCCTTAGTCTTTAGTGCAAGCCTGACCTAGCCCATCAGTCAGAGTCCCTCCAAATCGGGAAAGTCATCTGCACCCATGGCACTGTGTCAGTGCAGAGCAATCCAGTCACTAAATGCCTGTGGAGAGCGAGGATTCGGGCCCGGGCAGAGCTGGGTGGGAGCTTCGGGAAGAGGGGACACAGTCTGTTCCAATGGTGGTTCTCAGGCCCGTTCACAGAGACTGTTTCGTCAGGGCGGTCCATCGTTGCCTGTGTTTCTCTGAGCTCCTGTGGATTAGTCAACGCAGGGAGGTGCTGAAGCTGAGCAGGTGGGATGGAGACACGGATACCCAGCAGGGTCCTACAGGCTTTCTGTACAGCTTTAGGGGGCTCCCATTGGCTTGTGCCCACGAAGTGGCTGGTGTTATCTTCCCACCCACCACAACAAATGACCACAAATCCAGGCATTCAGCACAACCCTCCCTGTCGGCTCCGTGGGTCTCAGGCCTGGGCTGGCCCAGCAGGTCTGTGCCTAGGGCCTTGCAGGGCAGCAGCCACGGTCAGGGGCCAGAGTCCTCTCTGGCGCTCCTGGGGAAGAATCTGTCCCAAGTCCTTCGGGATGCACCGGCGTCACGGTTTTCTGAGGCGCCACGTAGCCCCCTCGCGCTCCCCATAAGCACCGGGGTCGCAGCGTCCTCCTCCTTCTTTCAGCCTCCGGGTTCTTCCTCCTCACTTCTCTGTTTTCTGAGGCTCCGGTGATTACTGGGGCCTGTGAGGACAATCCACGTCTCTGCTCCTGTCTTAGGGTCCCCTGTCTGCTGTGAGAGATTGCCACGAATGTGGAACACTGTGGGCCTCAAGGTGCCATTCTGCCGCTTGCCAGTGAGCCAGGCTTTACCTGCTGAGGACACGCCCTGGCTGAGGCACTGGTCTAGGGCAGGGCCCGCTCAGTGGGAGGAGGCCCTGCTTTACAGCGACCCAGTGGCAGGGAGTCATGGTCCTTTACACGCAAATCTTCCATTTCCCACTGTGCAGTAACCCGGGAGCACTCACACAACCTCCTGGGAGCTGCTGGTCTCCAGGTTCTGAGACATGTGGGCCCACGGCAGTGGTGCTTACAGGAGACGCTGCAGCCCCCAGCACCGTCCTGAGCCCCCCACAAAGCTGAGATGAGTTTCTTTCCTCCTACCCGTCCCACCAGGGTCAAGTCCAAGAAGTCCCTGCTGATGCCCAATTGCCTGTGCCACCTCTCTGCTCCCGTTTACCCAGACGGGGGCTCATCAGCACAGGTAAGTTGTGGTCGCTGGGCACTGGGCCCCGAGGACAGGGCTGTGTGCAGAATGTGTGGTCTGCGGTCCCCCCAAGCTGAGATTAGGGCAGCATTCAGAATGGAGGCACTCTGTGCCCAAGGGTGCTCCCCACCTGGGAATGATGGTGGGTGGAGCACAGAAGAGAGATCAGTGAGAGGCAGGAACGCTTCCCAGCTGAGGGTGAGACAGACAGACAGGAACCAAAGTGGGAGCCCCCAGCACTGGAGCCCGACGATCAGGCTGTGGTGACTCAGATGCCCAGGGCAGGCTCTGAAGAACATGCAGCTTGGGACACTGCTGTGATAAAGGACGCAGGGAAATTGTTAGTCATGGCAGGATCAGTGTGCTGTGATTTTAAAATGAAATGCTGAGGAAGGACTGTATGTAGGAGACAGGTGGGAATAGAGGCGTGTGTGGTCACGTGTGCACGTCTGTGGTGTGTGGTCACGTGCGCACGTCTGTGGTGTGTGGTCACGTGTGCACATCTGTGGTGTGTGGTCATATGTGCACGTCTGGTGTGTGGTCACGTGCGCACGTCTGTGGTGTGTGGTTGCACGTATGTGTGTGTGGTTGCAGGTATGTCTGGGGTGTGTGGTTACGTGTGTGGTTTTGTGTGAAGTGTTTGGTTACGTGTGTGGTTGTGTGTGTTGTGTGTGTGGTGTGTGGTTACATGTATCTGTGTGTGAGTGGTGTGTGTTTGTTCCGTGGACTCTGTGTCCGTCCTTCACAGGAAAAGCCCAGCGTGGCTGCTGGCTTTAGGACCACCAATTTCTGTTCCTCCTTGGGGGTCGACTTCCAGTGGTTTCTGCTGGGTCATTTATTTTTTAGAGATGGGATCTCACTCTGTCACCCAGGATGGATTGCAGTGGTGAGATCACGGCTCAAGGCAGCCTCCACCTCCTGGGCTCAAGCAATCTTCCCACCTCAGCCTCCAGAGTAGCTGGAAGTACAGGCGTGTGCCACCACACCCAGCTAATTGATTTTTTATTTCTTAAGAAATGGGGTCTCACTCTGTTGCCGAGGCTGGTTGGAACTTCTGGTCTCAAGCACCCCTCAGGCCTCAGCCTCCCGTAACACTGGGATTACCAGCATGAGCCACTGCTTCAGGCCGTGGGGGTGTCCTTTTCAGCAGGCTTTGTGAGGGGGCCAGCTTCAGCTTCTGGAGATTACAGGTGACTTCTTCCCTGTGGGAGCAGGGCTACCTCTCCACACTCCCCAGGACTTCAGGGAATGGGCTCCCGAGACTTGGAAATGAAAAGGGCTCAGCCCCGGCCTGGAGGAACAGTGGCGCTGGCGTCCAAGTCTTGCCCCTTACCTGCACTTCCACCGAAGATTTGGAGACACACTCAGTGGAAACCAATGGAGCCCCCAGCCCGCCCCAGCCTAGACACACCTCCCTCCACGTGGCGCACAGACTCACGGGATTTTCTCTGCCTGGGATTGTCTGCGTCGACACCTGCTGCCCGGGTGCAACTGTGTGTCCCCTCGGTCTCTCCACAGTGTCTCGGGGTGGATGATGAGTTATAGTCACCCTCACGTGAAGCCACGTGATGCCTGCTCTGAAGCAGCGGAGATCCGTCAGCATCACGTTGAATCCCAACCCTGCATCTCTGTGGGCTCCAGGACAATCC